AGAGTGGACTTCAACTCCCAGAATTCCCCTAATTAGCATGGATGGACTTCAACTCCCAGAATTCCCCAGCTACCAGAGATGGACTCTTTTAAACTCCCAGAATTCTCCAGGCAACCTGCTGGCTGGGGCATTCTGGGAGTTGAAATCCACACCTCTCGAAGCGGCCAAAGTGGAGAACCACTGTCTTAAGAGGGGGCAGTGTGTCCAGCCACTTCATCTCATAAAGACATACACGTAAGCTCTCTCTCTCACACACACATACACACACACACACCGCAATCTCATGCACGGAGCTGCAAGGGCCTCCGATTTGGGGCGTCTTACCTGCCAGCATCTTATGGACCGGAGGGGTGACGTCCACTTCAGCCAGCTGGTCATAGCTGGCAGGATGATAAAGCCTGACCTGGGCGCTGCCCTGGAGGGTCACCCAAATCCCGACGCTAGAGGTCACTAAACAGGTCACGCTACGGTTGCTGTCTTGCCCGACCAGGAACGTGTGCTGCGGAGGAGAGCCAAGAGGCCTGGTTGAGTTCTCACGAAGATACTCGTGTCACTTACTCCTCGGTGTATCTGTCAGCATTGCAAACTCCGAGACAGACGTCCTCTCCAAACATCTTATTAATTCGAGTAGTAAAGTGGCACATCTGAGAAATCCCGAATCTGAAAGTTCTGGGTTTCCTTGCAGGAAGTAGAAAATTACAAATCCACCTCTGCACCCATCTGGGATGACCCCAAGGGGCGTGGCGCAAAGGCAACACAGTCCGATAAGCAAGAAGAATCCCTTTATTATCTCCAATTTTGCCCCCAGTGTCCAGGTTACCTTCGGCTGGAGAAAAACTCTCTCAAGAACAGCCTCTAAGTGGAGGAAATTCAGCCCAAAAGCAAAATCTACACAAACCACGCTGCAGCAATTAACTGGACAGGGCAGGGTAAGGAATTGCAGACTTGAAAGGCCAGCAAAACACACGCAGTTGGGAAGATGCCAGGAACCCAGATAGGCCATGATGATACCAAATAAACTCACAATTTGCTCCCAACAACTTGCTATGCGCAGCTTCCCTTTTTAAACACTTGTGTTCCCAGCTGCAGCTAATGAAGGGAATCAGGGCCGTTTCCTCCCCCGTAAGCCACGCAGCCCCGTTGCTCCCTTCTCCGTTCCTTCCTGCGTGCCCTGGGATGAAGAGGGGGTGGGCCTGGGTCTTCCTCTGAACTCCCTCTGCCTTGTTCTCCCTCTCCACTGCTCTGCCCAGCTGGACTTTGCCCTCCCCCAGTTTTCTCCGCAGCCAACGGAGCCACCACTCCCACCCCCTGTCAGCTGTTTGGCCTCTCCCTCCGAATCAGACCCCAACAGGGGCATGACAATAATTCCATCACATGCCCCAACCATCCTCCGTCCCAACTTGAGACTTCCCCTCACTGAGGTGCAGAGATAACATGACCTTGACTTAGAAGAAGAATGCTATTATGTCTAACCACATATGCTCCAAGAGAGAGAATATGCCTACAGAAGCTGGTGGAGCTAGAATTGGCCCCTTCTTACCTCCTGAAGCAGCGTAGAAGTCTTGAGGATCACGATTCGGTTCTGGCATCCACACCAGAGCTTCCCGCCCACAGCCACCATCTTGGTTACGGGGCTGCCCGGAGAGCCCAACAAGAGAGACTTGGAGTTCTGAGAGTCCCAAAAACGTCCTGGATGAGAGAAAAAAGACAGACGACTCGCGTTTTGCTTCTGAATGGAAGGCGCCTCACTCTATGGAGGATGCGGTTGTAGAAGAAGGAGTGGCAGGACCTGGAGGCGGAGTCAAAAGGGGGATCAGTCTAGAATAATAGCAGGAACTGGGAGAGGGATCCTGGAGTCTTACTGGGCAACCAACTAAATAGGAGCCAGCCGTGTGCAGCAGCCGCCGCCAAAAAAGCCAACGCAATCCTAAGTTGCATTCACAGAGGGATGCAATCGAGATCAAGGGAGGCACTAATACCACTCTGTAAAGCCTTAGTAAGGCCACACCTAGAGTATTGCATCCAGTTTTGGTCACCACACTATAAAGAAGTGCAGAGAAGAGCAACCAGGATGATGAGGGGACTGGAGGCTAAAACCTACGATGAACAGTCACAGGAACTGGGCCTGGCTAGTCTAGTGAAGAGAAGGACCAGGGGAGACAGGAGAGCATCTTCCAATATTTGAGGGGCTTCCACAGAGAGGAGGAAGGGGGTCAAGCTATTCTCCAAAACCTCTGAAGGCCAGACAAGGAATGGATGGATGGAAACTGATCAAGGAGAGATTCAAATAAAGAAATAAGGAGACATTTTCTGACAGTGAGAACAACCAACCGATGGAACAGAAGTTGCCTTCAGAAGTTGTGGGAGCACCATCACTGAGACCTTCAAGAAAAGACTGGACTACCCTCTGTCAGAAATGGTGTAGGGTCTCCTGCTTGGGCAGGGTATTGGACTAGATGACCTACAAGGTCCCTTCCAACTCTGTTAATCCCTATGTAGCTACCAAGGGACAACCTCCAACCTCCCTTGAGTTCAGTTGTCCCTTAGCTAACTTCTAGCAAGGTCTGACCATCAGTTGAGAAAATTCCCTATGCAGAGGCTTTATAGCAATAAATCAGTTTACAACTACTCCTTGACTTACAACCATCATTTGGTGACTGCTGGAAGTTACAACGGCACTGTAAAAAGTGACTTCCAACTGTTTTTCATACTTCCGACTTGGTCGCCATGGTTACCCAAGCCCTTTTGTGGCCTAAGCTATTGCGGAAGCTCATTTGGAGGCCCATTTTTCGGCCTCCCAAGGCTGCAAAGGCTTCCCCCGAGGGGCGAAAATGGCCTCAAGTGAGCCGAAAAATCAGCTGGGAGCCACGCGCATGCGCGGTGCAGGTAAGTTTGGCTGGGGCTCGCGTGCCTGCACCAACGGCTCTGCGGGCCACCGATTCATCATTACGGCCTTAGCCTCTTACAGAAGTGCCATTTTATGAGTTTCCACAACAGCTTTTGCCACAAAAGGGCTTGGGTCACCCTGGCGACCAAGTCGGAAGTGTGAAAAACAGTCGGAAGTCACTTTTTCCGGTACTCCTGTAACTTCCAACAGTCACCGAATGATGGTTGTTAAGTCAAGGAGTCGCTGTAAACTGATTTATTGCTAATAAAAACTCAGCCCAAGGGTCTGAGTTGGGGGGGGGGAAGTAATTCTGCCCTCACGTTACTCTGTTCCCTTTGCTCCTAACAGGATTCCCAGGTGCTCCAAATTCTGCAAGGCCGCCCCCACCCTTTCTTCTCCCAATCTGATAGTCCCCAGGTTTGTGGGAT